CTCCTGAGTCTGAAATGGAGCATGTGCTTGCCAGTGTCCAAACAGCATTTGGAAGTCGCTGGCTTTAAAGCTCAGTTCCATTGATTTTTTTATTATTATTATTATTTCTTTTCTTTTCTTTGGACTTGCAATCAGCCTCCCAGCCCAACAGCAATAAGGCATGTTTTGGATGGAATCTCACCACGGCCGAGTTCTCCATACAGCTTCTCCAGAAACAGATTTGTACTACCACCTACATTTTGGAGGAGTCTGTTCACAAAGGAACCGGTTACCTGGATACTTTACTACTTTTCTCTTTTTCCCCTCCTCTCCTCTCCTCTGCACCTGTGCCAGGGCCTCACCACTATCACAGCCAAGAATTTCTTCCCAATATTCCCTCTAACCCTTCTCTCTGTCACTTTGAAGCCATTCCCTCTCATCCTGTGACTCCAAGTCCTTGTTAAAGCCATGAATTTTGGGCAGGTGGTTGCCTCTATGTGGAGTCTTGCTGTGCCATTTATCAAATCTGTGACTAAACCAGGATAGGTCTCTATTATTTCTTTATTATACCCCTGTGAGCATCAGTGGGGCATGCTGGGGTTGAACCAGAAAGCCTTGTTCCTGGCTTCAAGTGACAAAGGTGAAACAAGGAGTGGAAAAAAACAGGAAGGTTTTTAAGGGATCATTTCTGCTGATGTTCAACCAGGCTAAAGGAATTTATGCTTTGAAAGGCTCCTCTCAAGACTTGTGTCTCTGTGGGAAGGATAGAGAAGGAAAGAAAGGCAGGAGCAAGTCGTGGGGGCAGTGCTAGGCCTGCAAAGGCACCATCCTGCTCGTGGGGAGCACACCAGGACAGAGGATGGGAAGGGTGTCCCCCTCCAGCTGCTCTGCTGGAAGTGTCCCCGTGTTTACAAAGCGTTTGGACACACGCACGTGCCTTTGGAAAAAGCTGGATTTCAGTGCAGCACTGAGAGACAAACGACATGTGGTGTCAACAGGGCAATTCAGTGTTTTGCAATGTTTAGGAAATCCAGGATCTCTCTCCTTGGGCCAGTAATCCAAGTTGTCCACAGCGCTGGTCCTGCTCCGCTCGGCTCTCTGCCTGCTTCCAGGAAAAGAAAGAAGTCCTGGCATTTGGGAGCAGTTTTTACTCTGTGTGCTATTTTTACTTTGGATTAGGGTTGTTTACTTCAGAGGGAAGAGGTTTTGCATAAGAAACTTGGGATGTTCCCAGTCCTTTTGCTTTAGAGCTCTTCTTGTGGCTGTGGAGTAAGAGGAGAGCAGGACCTCGAGGACAGAACAGGAAAGGACTGAGGACCAAGTTTGAGTTGTGTAGGGGAGCAGTGGGGTTGCATTAGGTATTTCAGCATTCCAAAACTCTTTTGGTAGGTTTGAGACCATGTTTTACTATGAGGAGATTTTATTAAGTTCTAACATTACCTCCCCAGCAGAGCAGCAGGAATTCTCCTGCTCCAAGTGTTGAAAACTGTTGGACCCCTCCCTGTGAACACTTACATCAATTAAATGCACTTACAGTTAAAAACAAGGCAGCATTTTTTATCTAAACCCCTTTGTTGCCTTTATCCTCTTCTTTAATGTCATTTCATCCAGTGATGGGAGGCTGCAGAAAGCTGGAAGTAGGTGGATGTGGCACCTAAACCTGACCCCATGGTCCTGGTCCAAACCCAGCTGGGAGATGGATGTGCAGCTGAATCCACCCAGCTGTGGGTGGATGGGCAGCTGAATTCAGCCTAATCCAGCTCCAAGTTCATCTCTATGTCCCGTGTTTCTTGCTGAATAAGGAGGAAAATGAGGATTTGACTCTACCCCAAGATTTTGGTGGGGTCCTCTAACAGAAAATAGAAAAGATGGGCAGTGTGTCCTTCTGCTATCAATGCTCAGGGAGAAGGACCTTTCCAGCCTGCATGACCAGGGGGTCTGAAATGCTGGCAGGCTTCTCCCGCAAAGTAAGGCCCTGATTTTAGATACATTTCTATGATAGTACACAAAAAAAAGGTCTCTTTTCACTCCATTTAGCTCAACAGCCAAAAAAAAGGAAAACTGCAGAGAAAACAGCACTCATCAGCGTGGGCTGGAGCCCAGTCAGTTGTCAGACATTCCTTCTGCCAGAAACATTTGGAGATCTCTGTACAAGAAAATAGTCTTTTAATTTTACATCAGTATCTGCAGAGCACAGGACATGGAATTGCCATTTCTGCCTCGGATGGTGTTACTAAAATAACAGCAATGTGGAAAGAGGGCTAATAAACTTCCCAAAGAGCCTGAGTGAGTGCTGGTATTTGCATATCAGCAGAGCAGCAGTAGCTGTAAGGAGGGGTGAAATCTGTCTCTGTGGCATACTTTGCTCCTGGAGCTGGGAAATAAATAGGCACGGAAAGCCAAGGAAGTGCGTGCTCCTCTCTCGTGTGATTTTTAAAGCATATGCTACTGGAAGATGTGTAAAAAGGCTTTTACTCTAGCTGGAACTTCTCACATGGCTGCTTAGGGCCCTGAAATATCCTTGTCTGGAAATGGAAAAGTTGTGGTTTTTTCTTTTGTTCAAGATTTAATTAAAAGTCAGAGGGTTTCCCCCCCTCCTTCAGTCCTGTTGGAGCTGCCTTCTCCAGTGCTTTCCCTTGCGATGTTCCCCCTGACTTCTCCTGACTTATTCCTGGTACTCGGAGTCTCTGCCTCAGTTTTGTGCATGTTTCAGAACCATAAACATGATTGATCCCTTTTTTTAGCAAGCTGTTGAATTATTTATGGATCTGCTGGGATGCTTGAACTGCCAGCTACAGGCACGGAGCCAGCAGGGAAAGGGGCCAAATTGTGAAAGGGAAAGCCTTCTGAACTGAGCTGGGAGAGTGTAGGGGGTGTGATCCTTGGGTTAACACCCTCCAAAAGGTCTGGAGCATCCTTCAGGAGTGGCATCCTGCTCTGAAACATTCCCGTAACGCCAGCGCTGGGAAGGCTTGCCTTGCAGCCCGCTGAAATTCCACGCGCTGTGCAACAAGATGGATTTGGTTCCTGACCTTTTAAATGCTAGAAAAAGGCTCCTTGTCTGGGCTGAAGCATTTCCCAGCTGTTCCCTGTCCGTGGGGTGCCATGAGCCAAGAGATCTCCATTTAGGAGCTGAGGCTTCCAATGTCAGGGTGACACGCAGAGAGCACGGCTCGAGCTGGAGGACAGCTGGGATGGGACACGTGGGGCTGGGCCAGGACCAGGAGGGCTGGAGGGATCCACATGGGGCTGGATGTGGGAGGTCTGGGCTTTGCCAGGAGTTGGGCAGTGTGGATGTGAGGCTGGTCCGGAGGAGCAGGAGGATGAGGGATCTGGAGCATGTTGGGACGCCCAGCAGAGCAGCTGCTCCTCCTCATCCTCCCTCTCCCCTTGGCTTTGGGGACACCAACTTCACGTGCAGTGAAGTAAGGAAAGCTGTTCACCATTAGCATGGTCGGTGGCCTCTTTAAAAAGCTTTTAATTGTCCCTTTTCTACTTCTGTTCCTCTCAGGACTCTTTAGCCTGGGAAGAAATTGCATTAAAAAGATAAAAGTGATTCATAAAATGAGAGGGAAGTGGCTGGACAATCTCAGCCTTGGATGTGCAGGAGAAGGAGGATGGCTGGGGGACATGTGGGGGGGCTTAGGAGGAGCACAGTGATTTCTGGGGAGGCTTTTTGGACTCTCTCCCTTGGAATGAAGGATGCTCAGCTGGGTTTGAAGCTTCTGGATCTCCTGCCTTAATTAAGAGCAATTGCAAAGGAGATTAGGGCTGGCACTGGCAGGGTGTTTGAATAAAACAGAAAATGGCTGTTTTACTTGAGAATTGATTCTGGTTTTAAAAAACAGAACTTTTGGAACATGGAAAAAATTCTTGTTACGGGAGCTGAGTGGGAGGTTTGGGGTTTTTTTGAAAATGTTGGGGTTTGCCTGAACTGAGGCACATTCCCCTGTATATGCAGCTTAAGAAAAAGGGAAAAATCTTAAGAAAAAGAGAAAAAAACACCTCTGTCTCTGCAGGAGTGGTGGGTAATCACTGCTGCTCACTAGCTTTTGCATCATCACCATGGTGGGCGCTGAATCGAGGTGGGTGTCTGTGCTCTCCTTTACTTTCACCTGCTGTCTTTGATTTCCCAGACTTAACCTTTCAGCTCAGACTTGTCCGTGTGTGTAGTTTATGGGGAGAATGATTAGGAACACGTGTCTCTGTTTCCACTGCGACAGTGTGACAAATTGGCCAGTGGGAATCAACCACTGCCCTCTGCTGCCGTCAGCCAGCCCTGCTCCCCTTCTCCAGAGGCAGCCTGGAAGGGCCTCTGGAGCAGAACAGGATTACTTCCTAATCTCAGGATACAAAAACTGTAAAGTGCCTTTGCATGCAGCAAAATGATGGCAGGGAGAGGTGGTTCATCCAGTTCCACCCTCTGCCATGGGCATGGATACCTTCCACTAGCCCAGGTTGCTCCAAGCCCTGTCCAACCTGTGCTTGGACACTTCCAGGGATGGGGCAGCCACAGCTTTCCAGGGAAACCTTTGCCAGTGCAGGAAAAGAAGATAAAGGTTTATGACACAAGAGCCAATGTCTCAGGGGGACAAGTTTAGGAATATGATGGGCTCCTCAAGACAAACAAAGCTGGAAGATCCTGTAGGATGGAAAACAGAGATAACTTACTGGAGTTATTTACGTTTGTAACATCCCCGTTCCTAATAAATGGGGGACAGTTTTTCCAAAACCTGACAGCAGGTGTGTTTCCCAGTCCTGGATCTCTGTGATGTGTCTGTTCTGCAAATAGGTTCGTAAATTTGGGATTCTAGGGCTGATTATTCCCATTTCTGAGGGAGCTGCAGCAGCAGGTTTGCATTTTGAGAGCTTTGCCCATGGTTAGGATGATGTATTGCTCTGTCACTGGGAATCTGACGGAAAAAGGATCATTATCTCTGGAGAAAAACAAACCCTAAGCATTAAGGCATGGTCCTACAAACGCTGAGCAGATGTTTAATGAGGCCTAACCTGACTAATACTCAACTCATCAGGCCACTTTTGCAAGAGGGGTTGTGCTGTGCCTCGAAGCTCTGCGTGGTTACAGGATTTTGGAAGCCCAGCAGAGAACTCGCCCCGTGGGGACCTTGGCAGGAGCAGCAGCCAAGGACTAATAGCTACAAAGACAAAGCACCTGGCACGGTGCATCCTGGTGATGCAAAAAAGCTGGAGGCTCACAGAGGATCATGGGGGAGTATCACTTGATGCTTCTGGTTTTTATACTCTTCCCATGGCTCTGAGCCACTGCTGGAAACAAATCTTGCCTTGGATGGGCCTTGGGTCCTGGTATGGCCACTCTGGTGCTCAGTCCATCGGCCTTGCATCACCCTTCTTGATGTGGGAGAGCTTTTCAGAGTCCCCTGCGTCCCTCTCAGGAGGGAGGAGAGGCTTTTGATGCTGAGAAAGAGATTTTTCCCATTCTCCTCTCCTGTTTAAGGCAGCTCGGAGCAGGCCGAGTTTCCAGCTCTCTGCGTGTCCCTGGCTAACAGAGCCCTGCTTTGGTAGGATTGGGATGAAGCAGTTGAAGACTTGGCCCACTGTTTTCCCTGGGAATTCTGCCTGACCAGTTTGTGAGTAAGGATGTAGGCATTTGTCCACAGGATGGCTGTAACCAACCAACCAAACATCTTTTAAAAGTTAAAGGAAAATTCAGAGGTGACATGCAAGTGGAGAATATTCTTGCCCTTTTTTTGCCTTTTTTTTTCTCCCTCTTCATTTTATGATGTAGGAAGGGTGGAAGTAGCTATTTTAGCTCTTTTTTTCCCCCCTTTTTTCATAGCAGGAATACCACTACTGGTGGTCGGTTTGGCTGGAGGTCTCCTTGGAAAATGTAGGGAGAGTGGCTTTTTTCAGCTCTCAGGTGGAGGTCAGAAAGTACTTTGGAGTGGGGTCCCAGTTATGTTCTAAAGGATGGTGTCAAAGGGGCTTTGAGAGAGTTATAATGCTCTTGCAGTGAGGAGACTGAGTCCACAGCCATCCACAGAATTTGGGGTTAGACCAGACCTGGGTTAAATGAGAATACGCAGAGACACAACTGGGTTCTAACACACCACGAAGACCCAAAGGGTGGGCACGAGAGGGGTTTGCAAGGGTGGTTTTCCAGCAAAGCTTGGAGCCAGGAGCAAATGAACTCTGAAATAGCCTTTAAACTGAGTTTGAGAATGAACTCCTTAGGTATGGCTGCATTCTGGATGCATTACAGCGATAAAAGTGCATTTTTTGAGCTGAGCTCAGGAGCTGCCAACTGACACGGTGCCAGTTCTAGATGCCTGCCATTAACCTTAAAACAGTCTCACATTGTTGGCTTAATGAGTCACCCTTGTATCAACACAAAGACAAGCCAAGCATATTATTTCTTCGGAGGGAAATTACTGGAAAAGACAATTCCTTCTTTTTTAAATTCCCATTTTACCTCCAGGTTTGGCATCCAGTAGCCAGCTTTGACTTTCCTCTGCAGCGAGCTCTGGGGTTGGGCTGGGGTTGTGTGAGGGAAAGGGAACAAGACCAGACCTGGGTTGGGGACAAATTTGCCTTCCTAAAATATCCTCTGATGTCACAGCTCCTGGGTGTGGAGCACTATTGGATTTTTGGAAGAGGAAGAGGACAGACTGGGATTTCTGCTGGGAAGAAAATAAACAGAGAGGAGAAGTCTTCCATTGATTGGGTCTCCCGAGGAATTAGACAGGAATTTGCTTCACGTCCCCACATATTTTTCTCCTTACCTCTCTTAAGGTTGCGTTAGGAATTTTAAGCCCCTGGTTGCCTACCAAAAATCAGCCCTTTTTTTGAGAAGCACAAGGAGGAACCAGACTGAGGGTGGGAGTCCCAGTGGGCAGATGCTTATTGGAAACTCTGGGCGGCTTTATAGTCTGAGGAGAAGCTTCAAAAATAAAATAAATGAAGCCCAGTGCTGGTTGGGGGCTGGCAATGGTGGCAGGGCTGGAAAACATCACACATGGCCTGATTCACCTCTGCAGCAGGACTGACTGCTGGTCTTGAGACCCAGACATGGGATGGTTTGGCTTGGAGGGACCTTAAAGCTCATCTTGTCCCACCCCCTGCCATGGGCAGGGACACCTTCCACTATCCCAGGTTGCTCCAAGCCCCATCCAAGCTGTCCTGGAACACTTCCAGGGATGGGGCAGCCACAGCTTCCCTGGGCAACTTGTGCCAGTGCCCACCCTCACGGGCAAGAATTTCTTCCAAACTTCTAACCCAAATCTCTCTTCTTTTAACTTAAAACCATTCCCCCTTGTCCTGTTACTCCATCCCTTGTCCAGAGTCCCTCTCCAGCTCTCTTGGAGCCCTTTTAGGTACAGGAAGGGTCTCTAAGGTCTCATCCTCTGTGCACAAACGTCATCTTGATCTAATATTTGTTTGGAAAAAGTGTGTGTTTCTCTGCACTTCCAATAATGAACTCAGAGCTCCTTCTCTCATGCACTCACCTTCGAAATATGCTCATCCCAGCACACGCTTCCCACCCATGTCCCTGTGCAGAGCAATCCCAACGCTTTGCCCACGGAACAAATGCATATGGAAACCCTTCCCATGCGTCTGGAGCTGCCTGTGGAGGCTCCAGCATTGAGATATGGGTGGGGTGCAGTGAGGATTTCAGCTTCATCTCACTCATTTGGGGAGCAAAGATCATGGTTTGTTCAAGGGAGGAATGCAGAGGATGCTGGGATGAGATGGAGCTGGAATGCTGGTCATGCCAGGATGTGGGTTATGTCCTGCTGTAGGTTGGGGAGCAGATTTAGTGCCTGTCAGTGCTTGATGACGCCTCTGCCGTTCAAAACCCCCATGGACATATCCCTTCTCCAGGTCCCTGGCCCAGCATTCCTGCCCTGAGGTTCTCCCAGGGGTTCTCCCTGTGCTCCCAAGCACACGGCAGCCTCTGCTCCCACTCACTCATGGGAACATCCACGTAGCCAAATCCACCAGTCCTGCTGGGAAGCATCATCACATGGTGCTAGAAGAGCTGAGAGCTCACTTTTCAGCCGAGGGTGGCCCCACAAACCAGGGTGAGGAGGTGCTGGCAGGGCTTTGGCTGCTTTGGCAGCATCCCTGCCCAAGGAACATCTCTCCTGTGGGTGAGGAGAATGTTCTCTTGAGGGATGTGAGGTGAGGGCTCCAACACAAGCCTCCTGTCTGGGAAAGAAAACATGGGAGGATGTTTCAGAAAAGCTGAAACTTGCCTGGTGGAGTCTGGGCTTAGCAGCAAAGCCAGGCTCTGTGTGCCAGGGCTGGGTGGGGAGCTGTGCTGTATGTTAAAGACCTGTTGGTATTAGGAAGTTCCATAAAAAAAAAAATCATATTTTCTCTTGACCTTTCAGTTTCTGGAAATGTAAACACAATAAACAAGCTTGGAAGGGATGAGCTTATGCTGAAATATGAGGATATAGCAGAGTGGAAAGTAAAATGCAAACAAGGAAGCAATTAAGTGCACAATGAAGGGAATTAACCAACATGCAATCCATTACGTATTTATTTATACTCAGAAGCATAACTAATAATAAACATAGGATTTCCACAAAGAAAACAATCTCAATTCCCTATTTTAAACAACTTTATGGAGCTGTGATGGTTATATATGGAGAAATTCCTTCCATCCCATTCTCCATGTCCCAGTTCTTCCCTGGAGCAGGGGTTTTATAGCTGCTGTCTGGGTTTACAGAGCTGGGAAGGCTCTGATGCAGCTCCTGTAGCATCTCAGAGCAGTAACTGCCTTCCAAGTGGTTTGTTTGCACAGGGTGTAGTGGGATGGAATCCATGCTCCATGCTGGAGCTTCTGGGTACCAACATACTATAAATATTAAATAATCAGCTTTGTGATCCTTGGCTTGGAGACAGACAGGCAGGGATCGACCTGGCTTTTGCCAAACCTCTTGGATGAGGTTTCAGTGTAGCAAAGAGCAGCTCACAGTGTGTTTTGGACCCTGTAGGCCTGACTTGGTGGAGGGAATCTGGGAAGAAGAGGGTTTTCTCTGGGCTACCTGCAAGTGGCTGATTTGATGTACAGTGTACAAATCTGAGCCACCTCAGTGGATCTGCTCAAGGACTTTAATGCTTGTTACGGGTTTGCTGAACTGGGCTTTTGGATGGGAAAGTGATTTTGGGAAGTGATGAGTACCTGCAATGCCTTTACTAAAGATTTTGGCCGTTCAGCAGCTCTGAAAATAAAGGGGCTTTTGAAGAGCATGAAAACATGCGAGAAGATCCAGGTGGACTGAACTAGTTGTAAAAACTGTTGTAGATAAGATAACATAGACCCTTGCATTGTATGAAGCCTTTGCACAGGTGCTCCTGGCGTGGGCCAGAGTCCTCTGAGCAGATGGGAATCATGGAATGGTTTGGATTAGAAGGAATCTTCAAAGGCCATCTAAGTCCAATCCCAGTGGAATGAGCAGGGACACCTTCCACTGGATCTGGCAGCATGTCCATCTCCCTGTAACACTGGGGGGGGTGTTTTTCCTTGGAAATCTTTCCAGATCCTTATTTTACAACCTCTGAGGTCACATAAAGGTGGTTCAAGGTGCTTTTCCTGCTCCTTGCTGCCCCTTTGGCTGGTTTAGGGCTGGTTTTAGGCACCACCTGTATCCACACTGTGATGGGGACCATCACCCTCACCTTGGATTATTTATGGATCCAGCTGCTAAAACCCCTATTTTGGATAGTATTGGAGCTCCCTTTTGTCATGAAGGGTTGGCACTGGTCTGTCTCTGTGGATGATTCTCCAGTGGTGCTCCTGCCCGCTTTGATGTACATGAACATGCAGAGCTTGGAGCCTCCTTCTTGATGAGCTGCCACATTCTCCAGGGTAAGGGGACACACTGGGGTGACAAATGCCTTGAAAACTTATTCCTTATGCTCCAGGGTTGCTCGTGATCCTTTTGGAGCTGTGCACCATCTGACATTATTGTTGCTTATGGGAATCATTAATTTGCATAAAAGTTGGGAGATGTTATGGAAGGGCTCATTAGTGCTAGACATTGTTATTAATTCTTTATTATTTAAATTGTCATTGTTTTGTCTAAGGACAGGGTTGTGTTATGAGGAGCACAGTTAATGCAGGGTTGTGGTTGGTACCGTAAACACTCAATGTACTCATGAACATATGGGGAAAGTGTGGGGGAGGAGGTTTTGCCTCATTTGCCAATTAGTAAAATGTCTCAGAGGCTATTGCTGGAATGTTTATGCTTTTTCCTCTCTGAGTTTAGACAAAGTATGGGAAATATCATGGGCCAGTTGCTTTAGAGCCATTATAAGAGAATGGAAATGAGGGGGGATAAAAAGATCAAGTCTGACGAGTGCTACTTGTTCTAAACCCTTCAGCCCTTCATGTGCTGAGCTGTGGCTGCTGCAGCACACAAGTGTCCAGGCACTTCAGTCTCTTATTTATTTATTTATTTGTTACCTTTATGATGCTTTTCTCAGGCTGGGAGATGCTGCCACTTAAAGGACAAGGAGTGGAGATGTGCCAAAGAAAGATAAAAATAATCTGTTGCTTAGCAAGATGATAAGGGAGGTGGGATTCCAAAGCTCACTTCTTACCCATCTGGACCTCTTCAACCCCTGGTGGACTTCTCCTGGGGTTCCCCCTGGTTATGGGATCCCAACATGTGTCTCATGACTCTTTCCCACACAAAGATTTTGGTATGTGGCTCATTAAGCTCAAGGTTCCCTGCTTGATCCAGGCAGGTGTGACACTGATCGTGGCTCAGAGATGGACCAAAACCTGTACTTTGATCCAGAAATCCCTAAACATGAGAAAAAACTGAAGGCCAGACTTCACTCCTGAATCCCTTTAATCTCTGTACCCCTGAATGCTGGGAAAATTCAGATTTGGAGCTGAATGTTGTGGTTTGGGCTCATCTTGAATATTTACCATGTGAGCCCTGAAAACAAAACCAGCATTTGACTTTCAAAGCAGTGGAGAACTCGAATTTATTTTCTAGTTCTGTTCTTTCCTGCTTTGCTTGTGGTCAGTGCAAGTTATGTCTGTGGCAATGAGAGCAGAGACTCCTGTCTCTAAATTATTCATCTCCAGCAGGATGTCAGGATGCTTTGATTGCACATTTTGAATTGATAACGAGGACACACAGCCAAGGTTTTGGTCCAAAAAAGCACATAACTTACCCTGAGTGCACTTTGCTCCTGCTGTAGAGCACCAGGGAGGGCTTTAATGAAGATCCCCGTGGCTGAACACACATACAGACTGTGTCTGATCTGAATGTTTATTTATGAACATTAAAAGTGAGTGGTTTATCTGAGCACAAGCACAAAGGTGTGCAATGGAAATGTTCTCCAACAAGAAGTGACTGTGCAGTGATGAAGAGGCAACACTGGCAGGGCTGTCTCCTGATCCCATCTGTCCATCTGCCTCCAAAATTCGCAGTTTTATCCACCCTCCCTTGTTTGGTTACTCATGGGGCTGTTACAGCTCAACTGGGCTCCTCCAAGAGCACCACAAACCACAGAATGATATAGAGGAGAGAAGTTAATACCCAGTTTCAGGGAGAATGGAGAAGCTCAGAAGGTTGGCAAATGGGCTGTGTGGAGTCTTGCATGGCCAGCCTGCCCTGATAGCTGAGGAGAGTTTGGGAACTTACGGAAAAGTGGGGTGGTGATCTCATAGTGGAAAAGATGCCCACACTGCAAAACCTGCTGTCATGAGTGGGGTAACCAGTAACCTCAACAGAAAGGCTCAAAACCCAACCCATGTTTGTGGAGGGGTTTCTCCAGCAAAAAAGGGTTGGAGAGGAAGGATGGAATGTCTAGTGTGAAAATGGAGCTGAGCTCAGATTTGCCCCAGTTGTTAAATGACTTCACTGCTGGATTTTTAATGTATTTCTGAAAGTGTAAAAAGAGAGCTGCCATCTCCACCCAACCTTCCCCCAGACACACGTGCTCCAATGAGAGGCCACGGCTGGCATTCCTGGATGTGTTGGCATGGACAATTTTCCTTGGGAAGCTGCAGCAAGCTCTTACCTGGCCAGAGAAAATTTGGAGAACATGTGATGTAAACACAGCAGAAATGTGAGCAATTATTTAGCAGCTGGAAATGGAGAGGAGCCAATAGCAGGTGTTTTGTGCAGACAACTCCAGGCTTTTTTAGGGAAGTTGCTCTTGTAGCAAGCTGGGGGTCAGTCTCTTCTCTCAAGTAACAAGCGATAGGACATGAGGAAATGGCCTTAAGTTGTTCCATGGGGGGTTTAGGTTGAATTTTGGGGAAAATTTCTTCATGGAAAGGGTTGTCCAGCCCTGGCACAGCTGCCCAGGGCAGTGGTGGAATCCCCATCCCTGGAGGGATTTAAAAGCTGTGTGGATGTGGCACTTGGGGACATGGGTTAATGGTGGCCTTGGCAGTGCTGGGGGGGACAGTTGGACTTGACAATCTTGGCAGTCTTTTCTTACTTAAATGATCCTGTGGTTCTAGGATTCTCCTTTAGGGAAAGTGCTCCTTTTCTGGGGTGGGGGGGAAAGTCCTTCTCTTTAGCAAGTGCTGCAGTTGCCTGTTTGAGGTGCTTCCCCATGATGCTTAAACAGTGGGCAGGTCTCATTTTGAGACTTCCTGGAGCCCCAGTAGAAGCTGCTGAGATGCCACCTCAGGGGGGGTGACAGCACTCCAGAAATGCTCCTTTGTAAGTGCAGGGGCTGTTGGTGAGGCTGAGGTGGTGGTTGGTGTCTGTTCAGTAGTGGAAACAAAGCATGTGTCCAATTTGCACCTTTGAGTCTCTCTGTCAGCAGCTGCTCCCCCCACCATCACTTGCTGCCTTCCTGATTTAAAGCAGACCAGATTCACCATCCAGCTCATCCTCTGAGGGCAGGGGAGGTAAATGCAGCACCCGTTCGGTTTTGTGGCAATTGCACTTTCTCTTTTTTTACAGAATTATTTTGGATTGTCATTTTCTGACAGGTTCTTGGCTGGGCTGGGCTGCAGCTGCCCTCATTAGGGGCTGTGCCAAACACAATCTTGGTGATAGGGAATATGATGCCATTTGCAGTAGCAATTGAATCCAATTACATCCCTGTAATGCTTTGTAAATTGAAAGCCTGGGAGGAGAGAGATGCTGAGCTCACCAGTGAGTGACTCCACTCAGCTTCCTCCTGGGCTGAGATATATCAGGAATGGGAAGGAAGGGAATGCCCTCCCTGGGTGTTAAAGTGAAAACAGAGTCACACCACGTGGGATTTATGCCGTATTTCTCTGGGAATAACACCCACAGCCCTGGGCACTGCACAGGTGAGCGGTGAACACAGAGAGATGTGAACAAGCTTGACCAAGATCACCACCCATCAGGTCATCAGTGGAGGTGATGGCTGAAAATCCCTGTCAAGTGGCAACTTGCTGGCACCAGCACTGGACTCTCAGTTCTCCTTCCTTGCCAACCCTCCAAATTTTCAGACAAATATGATATTTTGCTTTTTTCTCCTCCACTATGCTGTTGGATTGTCTTGCTTGGGCTACTAACAAACATCAAATTATCTCCAGCTAATGGATAAAAAGGAAGAAATCCTTCCCTGTGAGGGTGGTGAGGCCTGGCACAGGCTGCCCAGAGAAGCTGTGGCTGCCCCACCATCCCTGGAAGTGTTCCAGGCCAGGTTGGACGGGGCTTGGAGCAACCTGGTCTAGTGGAGGGTGTCCCTGCCCATGGCAGGGGGTTGGCACAAGATGAGCTTTAAGGTCCCTTCCCACCCAAACCATTCTGGACTTTTCTGAACACCATTATAGCTGAAAAGCCCCTGAGGGTGCTGAGGAGCTTTGGGGAGTTGTGCTGGCCCTGGGTGATGGTGAAACGAGCACATTTGCTTGGCTTCACTTTGGTTTTGTCCCAAACATGCATTTACTGAGACTTTACAGGAGCTTAACGTTGCCTGCAGAGCCTGATTCATTGTTTAGGCTGTGGTGGTGAATATCTCCAAGCGTGTCTTGTCTTATGCACAGGGATGGGGAACATATTTTACTCCTTTCCTCTACAACTTGCTGTTGCATTTTTTCAGCTTTCATCTTTCCCTTCTGGCAAAAGCAACCTCGGTCCTTCCTTCCTTGGCCACATCCTTGCCCTCTGCTCCACATATTTCAAGGCTAGAAAAGTCTTTAGAGGTGATTTATTGTCCTGCACAGACAGAATTGCATCTTGTTACCTCCCACTTGGAAGTGTGATTTTTCCACTTGTCCTTGAGCTGTTGCATAACCCCCCTGAGCCACTGCTGGCAGAGCCACAGCACTGGGGCAGGAATGAGGGATGGGCTGGGAACTCCTGCCCTGGACAGCCTTTGGACAGCCCACATGGTGACTCCCGAGGACTAGGGAACGGGGAAAAGCAGGAGAAATAGGGAAAAACAGGGGGATTGGGGGAAAATGGGAAAATGAGCCTGGAGGATTGGTAACGATTATTTCTGTACCAAGAAGTGAATTGGGAGGTTGCCAACGCCGCGTACCCCTGTAATTCCAAGTGTCTGTCCTTTGGGGACAGAAGAGGAGAAATCCAGGGAGAAGGAGGCACTAGGATATTTGGTGGGGGGAACTGCTGTCCCAATCAAGCTAAGCCTGAGCCTGATACCAGTTTCTGCCGTTCCCTGCATGGGCTGGTGTCACAGTCACCAACTGGGCCTGTCAGGGATGATTTAAAACTCAACCCAAACACTCGCAGGCACAAAAAATCCAAAGGGAAGCGGTCCAGCCACAGGCAAAGGGCAGGAAGGATGCTCTGCATCTGGCAAGCCCCGCTGGTTCTTTGCTCCTGCTTTGCATTAAACCATTTGCTGCGACTTATAAAACCAAACAAACAACTCTCCCTGCTGAGGGGAACAGAAAAGAGGTTGTCGGAAGGGGGGTTGTGCCTCGGAGCCCTCAGGGAGCCCAACATTTCAGGGAATTTTGGGCACAGGAGCAGCTCATGGGGTCCATCCTGGGGTCATCATGGCAAAGCTGAGCTGCTGCAACATGGTTTGCATTAGATGTTCTTTTCATCCCATGCAGAGGACACGGATCTATATGCAGTTGGTTGCGTGTACATGCTCGGTTTGTTTCTCTTTTTTTCATTTATATCACATTTTTTAGATGTCAAGGTTTTTGGGGTTTGGAAGGGAGGAATTCTTACAGTGGTTGGAGCTGCTTCTTCCTTGGAAATCCTCCTACATCAGACTCAAAAATGTATATGAAAGTATCTCAGAGTTGAAAACAAAGCAAGCCATTTTTAGGAATCTGAGATGCATTTATAACATTTTTTAACGAGCTGAAAATTTTGAGGGAAATGATTTCCAGTCACTGGACATTTTTGAGAGTATGATTTCAAGAGGTTGTCAACAAATAGTAGCTCTTCTCTTGGTTCTGCCGTCGCATCGGGGATTTCCAGTCCCAAAGGTTTGAGATGCAATTCGGTCAAAGCTCTAAAGTTTCCGATGCTTTTTCTGGTTAATATGAGGCGTTTCTAAAGTTCCACCACAATTGTTCTCCCATTAGCAGTGAAACCCAATGCCTTCTCTGAAACAACCCAGACTGGGTCTGGGGAGCTGGGGTGGATGTTGGGTGGTGCTGGTTGAGGAGGGGTCAAAATGAGTCCCAGGCCAAATTGAGCTGGTTCCCACCTCAAGTGACACCCCCTGGTGTTGCCAGGGTCACAGGGAGTCATGAGGCACACCATGTACCTGAGAGTATCATCCAAGTGCTTCCTGAGCTCTGCCAGCCTTGGTGCTGTGACCACTGCCCTGGGGAGCCTGTTCAGTGCCCAACCACCCTCTGGGGGAAGAACCTTTTCCAATATCCAACCTAAGGAATGGTCAGTCATAGCCAGATATTCC